TGAGGAGAAATATTCGAAACATCCAGACGCATTCTACTTAATATTGACTTTTAAAAAATTACTGAAGAAATGACCAGAAATCATATTCTTTTCAACTAAAAATCTTCACTAATATTTATATAATAGTTTAAAAAGGTATATATGAGTAAGAACTCACTGAAACAACGTTATTAGATTCAACCGACAAAGTTTGTTTAATTTTATAGCGTTTTTCCAATTTTCGAATAAATTGTTGCACATTCGGATAAACTTCTAAAAAGTTCATGTTTTAGACCTTATCGGTTGAATTTAATAAAACATTGAAATACACACACGCCCGTTCGCGAGCGCACACAAATACACACATGAAAAATATATATATGATATATATATATATATATATATATATATATATATATATATATATATATATATATATATATATATATATATATACTTACATTATTTACATTATTCGAACTGTTATCCTCATCTTCATTGCCATTATTCACAACGTTTCGACTGTTGTACGTTCCGGCCCTCTTCAGGTGATTGGAATTTCGAACTGAACCCTTTATTTCGTCCACCGGGGTAGATTGTTCTAGTTCTACATGCCGTGCCTTTTCCGGATGTCTCAGTTATTTCCCTTTAACTTAACTCAACTCTCCAAGTTTGGTTCACCACTGCTGTGGCCTGGTATTGAACTCACTGAATCTAACCAACGTCTTTATTCACTGCGCCATGTGTCCTTCGAAATTCCAATCACCTGAAGAAGGCCGGACCGTAAAACGGCCGAAACGTTGTGAGCATATCAATGAAGATGAGGATAACAGTTCGAATAATGTAAACAATATAAGTAATCATAATACCTCATCTCATATATATATATATATATATATATATATATATATATATATATATATATATATATATATATATATATATATATATATATAAATTATAAATATACACATACATATGCAAAAATATATAAATATATATACATACATGCATACACATACATATATATTTTTTTGAATAAAAAAAAATTCCAAGAGGATAGAATCCAGGTAGAACTCAATGTCCAGGTAAGAGTAAGAATATAATAATAAAAATGTAGGTCTGATGAATTGGATCGTATTTACGATTCCAATGGAATAAATTATGACCATGGAATATTAGTGTTTAAGCCTTTTTTTATTATTATTATTATTATTATTATTATTACAGACACACACACGCACACACACACACACACACACACACACACACACACACACACACATATATATATATATATATATATATATATATATATATATAAAGATTGGTGTTTTCATGAAGTCGCTTTTCACATGAGATTCATCAGATTACATTCAAGAATTAATAAAATACGCGTGGCATGAGTTATGAGAAACTTTTTATTCTTTTTTTTTTTAATTCCTTGTCTCTTCATGGCGTAAACAAGTCATATTTCTTTCTATATTCTCTTTCTTTATTATCTGTGAAATTGCCATGAATTCTTGGACACGAAAATGGAGCAATTGTCCGTTGCCGTCTACATCGTTTTGAATTCAGATTTGTCTTGCTCCTATATGGGCTGCTATCTAAGGCTCGAGAGCCCAGTCTACTTTTAACGCATAAAAAGTGAAGAGGAACAGAAGGATGCATTGTTTTTCCCAAATGCATTTGTACGAAATTCTCTGTTCTTTACATCACTAAAAGTTTGTTTAGAAAATAAAAGTAAAAAAAAAAAAAAAAAATAATAATAAGATTATATGCCACAAAATGTAAAATCGTTTTCTTGATTGGAATACCTTTTTCTTTCGACTGCTTTAAAGATGTTTTTCTTTTTAAGGGTAGAAAACAACACAAGATCAAGTTACACTTGGTGATCCTTTATGAAAGATTGTTGGTCGCAATTTGCATTTATCATGAGAGAAATAATTACACAAATTTGCAAAATTAACTATAATAAAAAAATAATTGAATTATACGATCAGATTGGAGAAAGCGTATCCTAGTTAAACAACATCAACAACAACGCCACCACCAAAAAACAACAACAGCAACATTATTTTGATCAGTTTCGCAATAGGTTTAGGAAAATAACTGACGAAAGTAATAGTTATAAATTACAATCCCATTTAAGTTAAGCTGGTATCTCGAACTTACTAAAAATAAACAACTCTAAAGGCGAATTTTCTTTGTTATAAATCATAGGTTTTTCCACTAATTCTCAAAGCTAGGTTAAAATCTGACTGAAAAAAGGAATAATTAGCGGGAAAATACTTCTATAACTTTTGGAAAGTGTCTTGTTCTACTGATTGCGAGTCTTTTCTGTGACTTCTGAGTTGGACCAAATATCATTTTAAAAAAATGATATTTAAAATTTTTTTTTGTAACAGTCGAATAAAGATTAGTGAAATGGTAGTGGAATATTTGTAAACTGATAAATAACTATAGTTTTCTTATTTCTTGAAAATTAAAAAAAAAAACGAAAAAAACAAAAACAAAACAAAAACAGAAGAAATTTCAAATTACGCTAATTGTCATGAATCAAGATCCCCTCTACTCCAAAAAAGCTTATATTTCTTCTACGAAAAAAGAAAGTCTTTAAGGAAAGAAAGGCTTTGCCAAATAGCTTTAAGATAATGTCCCAAAACTGTTTCTACCTAATTAACACTCTCCCTTGAAATAATTCTTTAGCATATGTGTTTGCGTGTTTACGTATCAATTATTTGCGTTTGCGCATGCTCTTACGAATGCACTATATATATATATATATATATATATATATATATATATATATATATATATATATATATATATATATATATATATATATATATATATATATGTTTCTTAAAAATTATAGTTAAAAATACTTTTTCTTTTTTTCTGTTTATGGGCAACGACCTCCTCCTGAGAATAAAGTTAGCAAAATAGGTGCTTAAAAAAGGTTTTCCTAAGTAATTTATTAGAATTAAAAAAATTACTGAAGGAAATGTCATTTGCATTTACGTTATGAATTGTGATTAAAGAGAAAGATAATGTCGTTGCTCATTCAGTAAAGACATCAACCTTTTAATTTTATAGCAGCATATATTATTGGCTCGAACTAACTCTTAATGAAACCCGTAAATAATTTGTGTAGAATTTTGATATGCATTTTGTATGTGTCAATTTATTCGTTTGCATATAAAATTCTCTATATTTAAGTGCATACTATAATACTACTAGTTCACTGAACGAATAGCAAGACACGCACACGCACACACACACACACACACACATATATATATTATGAATATATATAAAGGAAAGCTTCCCTTTATACACGCAAGCCTTTTGTAGCAGATGGACAGAAGGTATAGGCGATAGATGGACACTTAGAGAGCGACGCGGGGTAGTGGACATAATAATAGCAGCCTCTGTAAAGCTGAACATAGCAATATGCAGGCTTGGCTGGCTCTACGAGCCATCAGTAGCACACCCACATTCCTCGTCAACGGTCTAATGAGATACTGATAACAGCTCTGCCCATGTCAACTGACCATCGAGGAGTTAAACTCAGCAGAATCACGCTTATTGCTTCTTCTTCGTCTTCTTCGTACTAGCAGCAACAGGCTGCAACAATTACAACAGCATTGTCTTTGCAGAACGCGAGCAAGTGATTTGCGTTCTTTACGTGGACGATTTATACGGTCCCCACTTGTTTGCGTGCTTTTAACTTCAGAGATCCCCGGTTGGCGTGAAAAAAAAAAAAAAATAAAATAAATAAAATGAATAAGTAAATAAAATTGACCAAAACAAGGATGTATTGAGGATTTTTTACCATAGATCTGGAAGAATGGATCTAAATATGATTCTCTAACTTACAGCTTTTTTTCTTTTACAACTAAGTCTATCACTCAAAAAAAAAAAAAAAAAAAAACATCGAAAAAAAAAAACGCCTTGAACAAATTCTCATCAAAATATACACCAAATAAACAAACAAACAAAAGCCCCGTGAAAATGAAGTTACAAATGAAACAAACGTTAATAATATAAATACATTTTAGTTAAAGATTTTTAAAGATGTCAAACATTGCAGAGATTGGGATAAATTCATTTTGTTGACAATAGTTAATAATAATAATAATTATTATTAATATGATTGTTATTTGAAGATAGCAGACAACTTCAAATCGAAATCTTGACTAGTTACTGCTTTCCCAGAAAGAAAATTATATAAGTTTTTTTTTTACTTCAATTTTACACTCTCTAAATATTCTAAAGTCTTAAATCTCAACTTTTATTAACTTAAAAACGGTTTTAATTTAACTGGTTCACTACATTAAATTGGAAACTCAAATAGAATTCTTAAAAATTCTTTAACCCTGGAATGATTACTTATTTCTTACGTTCTTGTGTTGTTTTATTCTTAAAATCATTACCCAACAATAACAAATGTAAGAGAGATTTTCCGTCACTTTCTTTCCAAGTTAGTAGATCAGCTCACTAACGCGGAGGAGGAGTGACGTGTGAAGGATTTAGTTTGAAGTGTTAGAGAAGGCTGAAATTCGTTTACACAAACTTATTGGATACAAGGAAAATTCCGATCTCGGACGAAATTATATTTTCATCCTTTCTTCGTATCGCCCTAAGTTTGTTCATATCTTCAAAACATCCTTTTCTATACTTTTCTTACGTCATTTTCAATATATATATATATATATATATACACACACACACACACACACACACACACACACACACACACATATATATATGCAATATTAGCAAATCTGACGAATTTGAGAATAGCAAACCACAGTCTAAATTTTTTTTTCTCTTGTTTCTGATTGTTTTTGTCTCTTTTGTTTTCCTTTCTTCCTTGCGTGAAACGAAAGATTCAAGTCCATCAGAGTTGTATTTTTTTTTTTAAATTATTGTTACTTCGATGCATCATGGGTAGTGGATCTTCCAAATTGACTCGCACGCTTTCTGTCAACGAAAAAACAACTACACGAGGAATTATGCGAAAGTCTACGCGACATAGACGTGCCAAAAGCGAAATGGGTGTTGCAACCCAAATAAACAGCAGTACAGTCATCGGACGAATTATGTCCACAGGGATTCCAAACGAAAATAGTGAGGACCGGCCTCATGATGCCGACCTTCCGGACACACCCATAAACATACCGTACACAACCCATGGAGAACAGGTGAAGTCAATAATTTCTTCTTTTCTACCTCAAACCGTTCTTATTGTTAATATTATTATTGTCTTGGAGGTTTGGTTAAATTAACATTTTCAGGTTTTCTCTCTTTGACATTGCTTTACAATGGATATAAGTTCTCATCTAACTGAAATTATACTTTCCTATCGTGCGTTCACAGACAACTGACAGGCTATTTCATATTACTTTTGACAAGTACTCTATTAACGACTGGAATCATTGTTATTTTAATTTTTTTCTGTGATTCTAATAGAGAGATTTCATTTGGTTACTGCTTATTTTTTATAACCAGACTGAGTATCACTATCATTGTTGTGGCGATAACTTTTATGTTTTTGTTCTTGTATTTATAATAAGCAATTTTGGAGGGCAAGAGATGCTAAGTCTCTTCGCAGCGTTACAATCTTTATCAATATATTTGTCATATTTATAGAGTTGTTTTGTAATTTCGATTGTATGCGCGTGTATGTTACACCCGTTTTTACTAATAACCATTCTTTGAGTGTGTTATATATGCCACAGTACTTAAAAATCTTTACTTATTTATTTTAAAACTAGTTTAATTTTTCTCTCTAGCTTGTCAGTGAGAAAAACATATATATGACATTTTTCAGCATCCTTTCTTGTCACTTACCATTAGAAGAATATGATATATAAACTTCATACATCCGAACAATGTTGAGTAATTGAATGACAAAATTGAAATATTCTATGTAACACGTTTCATCCTCTGAAAGTACTTCATCAGACTAAAATCAGTAAGAACATTATTTTAGCGCGATGTTATCCTTTTAAAGGGCGAGACGCATAACATAGAATTTTTCATCATATACAACCCTGTCCTCATCATATACAATCCTATTTTTAGGGATGGGATGGCCCATCTCCATTTTTAAATCCCTGAGCAAATATTCTTGATCAATATTGACTTTATTGATAACGTTCCTGTGCTTGATTTCACATCTCAGTGTTTTCCTATCGTTCTTGCCGTATTGTGGCTTACATCACTTTTTAAATCTTTCTAATTTCTAACATCAGTTCATTTAAATATTTTTTTGAATGGCATTGTAGCAGTTCTCAACGATTTAAGACTTATATGAATTTTAATTAATCTAAAATTCTGTAGTTTCTTAAGTCTTTGAACTCTTTTTTTTATCTTCAAATTCACAACATCGCCGGTCGGAACAGTTACACGCAGTATTTAGTTTTCTTTAGTTTTAGTATATCTTCTTTCATTTCATTCGAGATCATTTGATTTTTTTTATTAGATTTTAAAACAAACTTTGTTTGTTTTAATTCTTATTTATATTCTTGTCTCTTTCAATCTTTCTAAAAATAAGTTTGTGACCAGTTCATCATCAAATGACTAGGATTAACGTTCAACGATTTTTCTGTCTTTAAACTAGTGGCTCTTTTGAAAAACTTTTCTTTCCATCGCTTATGCCTGTAAACATAGAAACAAAATCAACTCTTATTTCTCTTTCGCCGTTGTATTCTAGATAGAGTGTTTTTTTGTTTACTTTTTAAAGATTTACATTAATCTCAACAGATGTGAATATACGGACATTATTTTTCTATGCATTATTCTCAGTGCTATGTTGTTCCTTCCCAATCATTTTTGCTTTTTTTTTGTCGAGGTAGTTTTATGCATTTTCATATGATATATATTGATTTTCTAGAAAATTTGTCGTGGTTTATATCATTCGTTAAAATTCATCATAGTTTATGATCATCATTCATACTAAAAATTGGTTGTAACCCAATTTTTGTGGGGCTATTATAAAAAATATTGATTTTTTAAAAAAATATTAATCTTTCTCCTCAAAAACGTGTCTAAGATATTTCATAAAGAATTATTTATATATGAGAAGCTATCATAGATTTGCAAAATAAACATTATGTAAAATAGTTTACATATCGTTGAAAACCAGAAACGTTATCTGACTACAAGTATATCTGTCAGTTTACTACTGTCTTATATCTCCTAGACAGGTCATACAATTAAAATTATGTCTTTAGTAGCTACATGAAAGCGAAAAAGATTTTCGAAGAAATCGTTTGCTTAGGGCTGAAGCGAATAATCACTTGCGTCAGACTAAATATTAAACAAAATTTACTTTCTATAATAAAGAAGCGTAAGAAACCAAACGATTAAAAAAAAGTCCGAAAATATTTTGTTAAAAAGTTATCAATATTTCAATACCATTTCCTTTTTTAATATTAACTTACTATCTTCTGACTTAATATTTAGATGCTTCAATTAACGACTTAAATATAAATATTGTAATTTTGAAATATCAAATCCGGATAGAGATGAATTAAATTGCTATTTCATTATCCGGCAAGACATTGTTTTTTTCTTGTAATACATTCTCAAGTTTACATGTCTCTTGATATATGGACATCGAAAATTGGTTCTTTCTTCTTTTCTTTGTTGATTTGTTATAAACAAATTTTACGATATCGAATGTTATTCTTAATTTTTCCCTCATTTTTTTTTTAGTTTTCAAGTATTTTTCTAATTTTTTACCCTTTTTATATATGAGCAAAATATACTTTGACATTACATTTTTATAAACATCAACTATATATATATATATATATATATATATATATATATATATATATATGTGTGTGTGTGTACATGACCTTTTTGCTAAACAATAGGTATTGTGTAGTGTTTTTAAGGCTTGGCCAATTAGAACTTTTAGTGTTTGCTCACTTCTTCACCTAATTTCTTGTTCCTCTATTATTTTTCGTAGGATCTTTAGGAGCGTTACCGGTGCTTCTATAACGAATGGCACTTCTGCCATGTTCCAAAGATTCAATAGCTTTCTATTAAATTCGAAATACTTATCTATCTTTTCACTTTCTTTCATTCTCTCGGATAGATTCTTGCCCGTACACAGATCATTGGTCCAAATGTTTTGCACATTGAATCACCTTACCCATTCAAGCGAAACTTATTGTATTTTTTTACGCCAACTTTTTATATTTGCTGATTATGTGTTTCACTGTCTTATTTTTATTTCTTCTCAGCGTACATTTTCTGTTTTTGTGTGTGTTTTATCTTTTTGGCCTTTACACTGACGTGCCAAAAGTTATATGATAGGTGTGTAGTATCATATAGAACCCTCTATAGTCCGCCGAAGTACAGTAAATAGGCGTGGTATCTATTCAAAAAGTGGGTGGCCGGAAGAATTCTTGATAGATATTGAGCTATACCATGTTGCGGTTCTCTGATTTTTGTAAATGCAGAATCTTGAGTGCTAATAGCCAGTCTATCACAATCGTGTAAGGGAAGCGTCAAGAACCTATACTGGTAGCAGACAGCATGCATAAGCATAGAGAAAGAGTTCAGCCTATATACGAAAATAGAAAGGGGCGTAAGGCAAGGATGTGTCTTCTCACCGAAACCTATTCAACCTATACAGCGAGGCAATTCTTAGAGAACTGGAAATCCTACCGGGATTCAGCATCGGCGGCCACAATCTTAACAACATAAGATACACAGATGACATAGTACTGATAGCAGACACGGAAAAGAAATTACAAAACCTCCTACAGAAGGTAGCGAAGGAGAATGTGAAGAAGGGACTAACCATAATCTTGAAGAGAACAGAATGCATGGCCATCAGTAAAAGGATGAGCCCGAAATACGATTTGCCTGTCGGGAACAAAGAAAAGAATACTGAGCTGCTACGTGACATCTGTCATGTTGGACGATTTCCTCAAAGATGAAGAAGAGACTCGAGGCGACGGAGATGTGATTCCACAGAAGGATGCTAAGGATATCATGAACCGAGCGTGTGAGCAATGATGAGGTCTTAGAGAGGATGCAAACTAGGAGGAGGCTTATACTCAGGAAGAGGCAGCTGAAGTTCTTGGGATACATAATGAGGAAGGAGGACCTGTAGATTCTGATACTCACAAGTCGAATAGAGGGAAAGAGAGACAAGGGAAAACAACGCATGACATACCTAGCGGCCTTAAGCAAGTGGATGACAGAACTGATCTGTCGGAGATAGCAGAGAGAAGGAACTTGTTGGGAGCTGCAAGGGATAGAGGGAGATGCAGAGCCATGATCACCAACGTCCTGAAAGGACACGGCACATAGAAAGAAAAAAGGGAAACATAGTGACCACACCATTCGTCGGAAGTTTTCAGAATGCTATTTAAAACAATTCTGCGTAATTTGGGCAACCGATGACGTGATGCATTATCCGACTGGAATAATCCATTACTCTAGTGTATATGGAGTCAATGAATAGATGCAAATTGTCATGAATTAGCGCAACGTAGTGGTCACTGGTTGGTGACCTATTTAGGCTGACTAGCGGACCCAATCTATGCCACGTGAAGACATCCCACACCATCACCATGCATGGGATTTGTCGTACAACTGAATCTTAACATCAGTCCAAACCAACTGTAACAGTCATTCATAGGTAGTCAGTGCGCCAGTGTTAAATTCAAGACGCCACAAGTACAGTTGAGCCCGGTGTCGTGTGTTCACACGGGTACACAGGTGGATCACCTGCTTCTCGCATTCTTGAGTAAAGCTGAACTGACTTGCTGGATAAGCATTTGGTATCTCTTGCATTGAATGCAGATCTGAATTGAGCAACTATCATTGCTATCATAATTCAAGACGGATATGTTTGGTCACGATCATTAAGGATCTGTGGTCAGTCACCACACTGTTTATAACGGGAATATAAAAATAAGTACAGCACGGTGAATGTCACTTTCACGTACTAAGCGATTATTAGACTTCAGATGGTCGCTTAAAACTTGAAACTTTCAATCAATATGCAATACTATTTTTTATTTACACACTGTTTATTCCCCCGATATTGGGCACTGTCTCATAAATAGCATATATATATATATATATATATATATATATATATATATATGAGCTGTGATACAGCGAAACAGTCTGTCTGTGGATGATATATATATATATATATATATATATATAT